TAGTAGGGACGAAGTGAGCAGAAAGTATAGCAGAATGCCATTCTTCCGTCGCCAGAAAGGCGGCATAGAGTCCACATCAATGGATGAGATAATGCCTTCGGCGGTATGGGCGGCGGCAGGAGCCATGATTGCAGACTTCAACTGAGAGTTGAAGACAAATGAAGTAGGCTTGTCTATGATCGAAAGATGAGTCTTAGCCCGAAGGCTTCCTTGCACTTCTTATAGAAGAGATATCCGTGTGGAGACAGCGGACTCTATGCATTCCGACAGCCCTAAAGGTCTTCATGTGAGAGAAATCTTCCAAGGTTTCGCATTTCTGCGGGGAATTGCCCCGTGGGGAAAATTGCGACAAGTTTGGAGATTTCGGGGAATCGGCGAAATGCCAATTTTGCCGTTTATCCTTCGACGAGTTATCCCCTCCACTTCAGCGCCACAATTCTCCGGCTGTGACAGCTGTAAAAGAATATAGCTTTGAATTCCACCGGGTGCAAAGCTCTATCACCTTCTTCTCTTTCAAAAATACTTCGCAATTTTTCTGTGGTTGTGTGTTGGACATGGCCAATATGTCAGTATCATTGCCCCCCGATTTTGAATGGGGGTTTGCAACAGCCTCGTATCAGATCGAAGGTGCTGTAAACGAGGATGGGCGCGGAGAATCCATCTGGGATACTTTCTGCCATCTTGACCCTACAAGGACCAAGGGAGCCAATGGAGACATCGCTTGTGACCACTACCACCGATTTGAGGAGGATTTCGATCTTCTCTCCGAATATGGCGCAAAAGCATACCGATTCTCAATTTCCTGGTCACGTATCATTCCGCTGGGAGGGAGAAATGACCCAGTCAACGAAGCGGGCATTGCGTTTTATGACAAACTCATCGATTCCCTGCTTGCTAGAGGAATCACACCGTGGGTCACTCTCTACCATTGGGATCTTCCTCAAGGCATCCATGATCGATACGGAGGTTGGTTAAATGTGGAGGAATCACAGCTTGACTTTGAGCGGTATGCACAAATTTGTTATGAGAGATTTGGAGACCGAGTCAAGAATTGGATCACACTGAATGAGCCGTGGATCGTTTCTATCTTTGTATGTTCCTCTGAGTCCCTTGTTATTCCTTTTTTTTTCCATTTCAGGACGCAGCTGACACATTGTTTAGGGATACGCTACTGGTGGAAATGCACCCGGACGAAGCAGTATCAATCCGCAGTCCGCAGAGGGCGATACTACTACAGAACCATGGATTGTCGGTAAAGCCTTGATTATGAGCCACGCCCGCGCCGTCGCATTGTATAACCGGAAGTTCCGCGCCTCTCAACAAGGAAAGATTGGTATCTCCTTGAATGGTGACTACTATGAACCTTGGGATAGTCAGGACGAGCGCGACCAGCAAGCTGCTGAGCGCCGAATGCAGTTCCATATCGGATGGTTTGCGAACCCTGTTTGGTATGTTTTCGTTGAATTTTACACAGCACCAAAAGAAGGATATTACTGATGCCTTTGACAGTCTGGCACAAGACTACCCCGAATGCATGAGAGCACAACTCGGCGAGAGACTCCCTAGCTTCACAGAGTCGGACTTTTCTCTGCTCAGGGAGGCCGACATGGACTTCTATGGAATGAACTATTACACCTCCCAATTTGCCCGGCATCGGGACGAGCCTGCGCTTGATACCGACTTCTTGGGGAATTTAGATGAACTACAAGAAAACAAGCAAGGCGTATCAGTCGGAGAGAAAAGTGGTGTGCATTGGCTCCGATCAACCCCAGAGCTTTTCCGGAAGCACTTGACGCGAGTATATCGTACATATGGCAAGCCTATCTATGTCACAGAGAACGGGTGCCCATGTCCTGGTGAGGATAAGATGACATGCGAAGAGGCTGTCAATGATACCTACCGAATCCAATACTTCAAAGATCATCTCGACGCGGTCGGAAGAGCACGCACAGAGGATGGCTCTAATATCAAAGGATATTTCGCGTGGTCATTGATGGACAACTTAGGTATGTGTCTTGGTCCTTACTTCAAGATATTTGAACTGATTCCTCTTCTAGAATGGTCCGATGGATACGGGGTTCGCTTCGGCGTTACCTTCACTGATTACAATACCCTGGAAAGAACACCTAAACAATCTGCTTTGCTGTTGAAAGGCATGTTCGATGAACGCATGGGTGGCAATGCCTCCGAGTCCAAGTAAAGCAATGAGATGGCCTCTGATGAGCCTAAAATGTAAACAACTAGCCTCGGACTAGACGAATATTATTCTGTTGGATATCACACAAGTGGCCTCGAATTCTACTTGAAAGTTCTATATTGTAGCTGTACTTTCAAAAACCTAAGATATTCAAACCCGTATTAATAAATTCAAATTAATCAAATTAATCAATCAAGCTTCGGAAATACCCCAAGCCAAGAAAAGAAAAATCTGGGGCTTTCGGGGAAATGCGCGGAGTATTTGACCGAGGCTCTTCCCCCATTCCCATCTTCCCAATTCCCCTAACCTCCGACGAGTTTTCCCGACAGAAGATGTGATGGCTAGCCCTGCATCTCGTTTGCGCTCATCAACTAGAGCATGCGATCGGTGCCGTCGGAGAAAAGCAAAGGTATCATGCGAAAATTTATTCTCACCTGATCTAAACTAAATTATCCTAGTGTGACTGCTCGGGTGAATCGTCAATATGCACCAACTGCCGTCTGGCTCGGACACAATGCACATTTGATCTGCCAATCGCCAGACGTGGGCCCAAATCTAGGCGACAAAGGTCGCATGATGTGGCTTATCCAAATGTTCTGCATAGTCCCCTGGCATCGGCCTTGCAGGTACCGGAACACGGCTCGATAAATCAAAACCTCAATTCGACCGCACCAGTTGCGGTTCCGCTAGAGGGATGGGACACCGATCTATCGGTAATTGATCCCGCCCTATCCCCCGAGACAGTGCATACAGTCCAATCATCTATTTCCGATGTCGCCTCAACGAGAATCACCTCCGCATTACAGCGATGGCATGCTTTGGAGCGGGTAGTTTCCGTGCAGAACTCATCAGCGCATCTAGAGCGGACTATCAATCATTGCTTCGAGTTATTCTTTGAATATCTATATCCGTTGACTCCACTTGTCCATGAACCCAGTCTCCGAGATGCGTTGGGGTTCTTCGTGACCCAAGGGAGAAATTCGAGAGCCGACGGCCTCATATATGGAGTAAACAGCCTCAAATATCCAGAGCTGTGGCCGGATCTTTCTTTCACTTTGATCACTGCTGTCTGCGCAGAAGCGGCCTTTCTCCTTCCGAAAGACATCTTTCCCGAGGGAGAGGGAATCGCAGACATATTTCTACAAGCCTCCAGAAATTGTCTGGCTACATATCTGGAAGCCGATCTTGAATACCCAAATGCCAACTCGGTTGCCATTCGATATTTTCATTCCAACTGCATGCATGCGGCTGGCAAGCCCCGACTATCGTGGCACATCTTTGGGGAAGCTACCCGACTGGCTCAAGTGATGCAGATGCATGAAGAAGATTCACTGCAGGGGCTCACCTCGCTCGAAGTGGAGTTTCGCCGACGGGCATTCTGGATTGCCTATATCGGCGATAAATCGGCAGCCATTCTGAACAACCGTCCGATCACAATTCACAAATATTCATTCAACTCTGGCATCACCATCGGCTACCCTACAGGCATCGAAGATGAGACAACCGTGACACCGGGTAGTGCTGTTCCAGATGCCGAGAGTACTCAAAAGAGTTTCATTGCAGGATTCAATGCAAACATTCGGCTCTGGCAAAGTGCATCCGATTTGCTTTTAGAGATGCGATTGTTGGATAGTCACAAAAATGGGAATTTACTTCCTCGTCAACCTCCCACGGCAGAAGAAAGTACCAGGCTTGACCATCTTTATGTGCTTTTTGCAACGTCTCTCGATGACCTCCCCTCCTTCTTACAATACGATCAGCTCATGTTAAATGCCAATAAAGACAACCAACGCCTGTCTAGACTCACGAAACTGCATATCATTCAAGCAGCCAATGTCTACATCTCGTTACACTGTCTAAAGATGGTAATCACACAGAAATTTGAAGAGTTTAATTACTATACTCCAGCGCCAAATGAAATGTTGCTACTGCGCAAAACTGACATTGCACGCGATCTTCTGCGAGTCATTCGCGACGCCCCTTTTTGGGCACTGCAGATTAATGGCGAACCATGTGTAAGTCGTCTGTTTCTTCTGCTGTCCCGGTGTCAAATGGGCGAGTTCTAACGAGCATCTAGGTAGAAAAGATCAGACTCATAGGAGCTTGTCTGCTCGAGATTATCGATCAACATGAAGCATCACCTCTGTCGGCTCGAGCACGTAATGATCTCTCGGTGCTCCTTGATATACTGACGCGCTTAGACTCGAAAGCATCAGACACTTTGCGACGATTGTTATAAATAAAATCCATCTTGTGAGTCAGACAGATGTATATTAAGTGCTTAAATTAGATAGTATAAGTACAAAAGAAAATAACTATGTCAAGAAACATGTCTCACTTGGGAACTAGCTGATGTCTGAATCAAGTAAATGATCAACGTCTGGGGGAACACGCTGAGATTCCCCACGCAATCTATATTTTCCCCGATTCTCCGTTTCCTTCGGCTAATTGACCCCACAAGAATCCCAGTCGAAGATCCCATCCTATAGCGGAAACAGATTCGCATACGGAGTAGTCACGAGCAAAACAAACGGGTAAACGTCTAGCATGGGTGGCGTGTACCTTCAGGCCATAATCAGATTATTTCACCGGCATTTTTCAGGGGAAAGCTTTTTTGGAATGCGGGGACCCCAGAGACTCCTGATGTGATATAATTCGTGGACATGGGAGTTCGGGCAAATGTGCGATTCCCGCTTCAAACCTGAGACGCATAGTATTTATATGAGTTGATATCTCCGTTTCTTGATGTCTAGCCAGCCAAGCTCGTTACTCAATTCAATTCTATAGATTGAGAAATACCGATATGCGTCTCCACGAGAAATTCGGCCATGTCTTGACATGGATAACACTGGTCAATGCCCTACCATCGCCATCCGGACACATCAATGAGCCCTCGTGCCGTTTTGCGCATCAACATTCCCAAAAGCAGATCCTCCAGGATCCTACTGCTTTCATCAATGATATGCTGTATTGGGAGGGCAAGTTCCATCAGAACAACATCTCATACAACAGCAACAATGGTATCTCCTACGATGGCACTAACATCGACTGGGTGACTGGAAAGGCGACGGCCAAGCACACCTTCAGTGCTGCTAGCAAAGAGGTTGGTATTGATTTCTTTCGTTGTTTGGAAATCCCCAGCTCACATTCCAATAGTCTCTTCAAATCATGCTATATACCCACGCTGTTGCTGGCTCTCCAGAGGCTGCTCGGTTCCTCTCGCCTGATAACACAGCAGAGGCCCCCGAAATTGCAGCTTCTATTATGCAGAAAAAGTTGCAGACTTATCTCAAATTCAACGAGACTTATCCAGGCTTCGGAGGCTTCTTGCCCTGGGTCTCAGCGGATACTCAAGATATGACTCCGATGTCGGACTGGGTCAATCGCGTGCCTGGTCTTGATAACGGGTATGTAAATCCATGATCCTTGTTCTGGTTTTGAGTTAACAATAAATATCTGCATAGTGAACTTGTATGGGCTGTATATGGTTTCATTCAAGCCCTTGAGAACACGGGAGATAAGAGATATCAAGAACTCGCGCAAAAATGGCAGGTCTGGATGGACTACACTAAGACTACTGCCGCCAAGGTACATTTTTCACGATCTTCCGTTCAATTTTGATCAGTCCGCTAATCCTCTGTCTATTGATCAGATCTTTTATAAAGGCAATGGCCGGGTTTGTACCGTCATTGACATCAAAGATCAGTCCCTCCCCGTCAACCACCCGGATCAGTCGTATCTATGTGAGACTAAAGACCTCCTCGACGACCCTTTCGAAGGCGAGATTTTCACTTTTTGGCTACAATTCTTCGGCGGTCTGTCGAAAGCCGACAAAAAGGCGCTGTGGGAAGTTAAAAAGTCCCAGTTGGTGAGCGTTGACTACGAAATGGGCGAGTTCGGACCTATCACTGTCCAAAAGGGTTTGTAAATTCCAACATAAACATGAGAAACAGTGACTAAATTCTGAGACAGGATTTTGGTTCTCCAGTCACGAAACCTGGAAAGTATTGGAGATGCCCTACTATGACATCGACCTTGTCCGGTGAGACTCCAAGCAGAAGGCAGAGATAGCCTATCACGTACTGACAGTTTCCCATTTAGTCGTGTATTTGCAAACGCCGAGCGAGTTCGGACCTGCAACTCAGTCGCCACGAAACTGCCCGGCATGTTCGCCTCAATTAACAACATCACCGATCCCTCCACTGGTGATGTGACAGGCTACATCTCCAACGCCGGTATCCCCTCCATCTCGAACCAGACCGTCCAGGAACTAGACGTCATCACGCCGTATAGTGTATTCCCAACAATCTTGGTCAGCAAGTCTGTCGGACTTGCCTGGTGGAGAAATATGGTTGCTGCTAAGAAAATGCAGAGTAAGCGAGACCTTTCATATATCAAGGTAATGCGGTTGATACGATGCTAACTGAAATAACTCTCTAGATATCTATGGCAGCACTGAATCCACTCGTGTCGATGGAACAGGTGTTTCTGCACTTCTGACTTGGGACAGCAAGGTCACCACGGTAGTTGCAATTTTGGGGGGAGTGACCGATTTTGTTCGTCAGAAGATGAAGACAGATGAGGTATATGATGAGTTCGTGGACATTATTCAGGTCTGTTCTCCCGGGTTGCACCGAAGGACTATGTGGAAAGGGTGATTGCTAACTGCTTCTGGATAGGCTGAGTACTCTCGAGTCTTCACGCATCTTAAAGGAGAAGACGTCGACTTCTGCCTCCCGCAGGAGACTGTTCCTGATGTAGGATTGGTCGATTTCACTCTTTGCAAATAGAACGGTCTAGGTCAATGTGGACGGATAATGACCATAGTTTCATAAGAATACAAGAATAGTATAGCATACAATGCACAAGTTTGCTTGATTTCAAATTCCCAGTGTGTCTTTATTAGTTATTTCATTGAATGACTCTATATAGTGCGGAGTAATCGCATGTGATGTATCATCAATCATTGTATCCACAATGGGGATAATAAACATAAAAGGGGTCAAAAAAATGACAATGATGGTATAAGGCAGTTGAAAATAGATAGGCCGCCGAATCGATGCATATCCTGACCTGAGAGGCCCCTGGGCCAAAGGCAAAAAAAAAAGCAATTGGGGGATTTGTACACGAAGACAAGATCCGCATCCAATGGGTATATAATGGACTTGACGTGTAAATCCAAGAAGAAAGTAATATCATGTTCAGCGATGGGTCTAGTGGTTATACTAGGATTTAGACAACGGGTTGCCAGTACCACCGCAAAATTCGAGAATCAACCGTTCGAGGTCAGAGAGTTTGTAAGGTTTCGTCATGTAGCCTTTGATCCCCACTCTAGAGGCTCGATTCAATGCCTCATCGCTAACATCGGCACTCACAGCAAGAACCGTGGGAGGTTGTGACATACAAAAGGTGTTAGGCATTGGATCCATTTCCATGGAGTCGGGGCTGTTGGGGTTCGGTTGCTCAAAAGTAGCATGTTGGTCCCGATGGTTGTCGACCATCTGGAGAATTCGTGAGGTGGCTTCATATCCGTCCATTTCAGGCATCCAAAGATCCATCAAGACGACATCGATCGGTTTTATTTTCGTAGCCAGTGGCTTATTGATGACACCTTGCATTGGATCGAGACTAACATCAAGGACAGTGGAGGGCTTTGATGCGGAGAGGATGCCTTGAACGATCTGGACGGCTTCTTTTCCATCGGCCGCTTCAAGGACATCGCGGTAGCCAAGTTTGCGTAGCATATTCACCAGTACGCGCCGGTTGATTCGATTGTCTTCGGCCACGAGAAAGCGCAGCGGATATTTCTCTCCAAGCTTCTTATCATATGCATCACCGGAAATATGTGTTCGATGCAAACGGGTTTGTATTGGCGGTCGCTGGGGCGTCGGGCTTTCGGACATATTTTCGTCGGTGGTACACGGTGTCGCATGTGGCAGACAGTGTTGGGGGAGGATGAATGGGGAATTAAAGGAAGGGGGGTCAGACAAAAGGCTACTGACACTGCCCTGTCGTGTTTGGTCGGTGGTGGATGGCGTCGAAACACTCTCACTGGGGGTTGCAGGACGGGGTTCAGCTTCACGTTGGTTTACGGGGATTCGAATTCGAAATTCTGTACCACGCGTAGGACCGGAAGTCGATGAACGCACGCAGGTCAAGTCGCCGCCCATTTTGCGTGAAAGGCCCTTGGCCACAAGGAGACCGAGGCCCAAGCCATCTTTGCTTCTTGTGGTCGATGCATCCTCACGAGCAAATGGCTTAAAAAGATTGGGTAGGAATGCAGCGGGAATTCCCGGGCCGGTATCGCGGACAAGAATAAGGACATCATTCTTCTTGGGGTCAATGGTTGCGTAAACAGTGATGGTGCCGTTGTTGGTAAATTTAATCGCGTTGAGAAAAACGCAGGAGATCAGCTTGGCCAGATCACGGTCATCGGCAAGTAGGGTGTCCGGTAATGATGGGTCTACAGACCAATCCACAACCTTGGTAAACAATTCACCATTCGAGGACCGCGACCGGATTTCAATCCTTTCACCAAACTCGGTTGCATTGCTAACAGCAGAATCAGGTCGACCACCAACGTGAAGAGACTCGTTAATCACCAAACGGAGAAGATCTCGCACTTTGGTAAAACGTAATGCAGAACCTCTCAGGTTCACATTGATGCCCTCAAGGAGTAAGTGAGGTGCGGATCGTCGAACTGCGAGAGAAGGGCGTGGATCGACCATGTTAGCCATTACAGCTTCGAACTGGCGAGCTGGGATAGCATGTACGATCTGGTCGCTTTCGTGGACGGCATTCTTGACTTCTTCGCTGCGAGGCGAAAGCTCTTGCCGCGACGAAGCCGCACGGAGTCTTTGCTTGCGGACTGGTCGGGCATTCATCTCTGGTGGTAGGCTCCGCCGTCGTTTGTACGGATTTACAGCGATATTCTTTCCTTCGATAAATACGCTCGGGCGGGTTTCGGGTATAGTAGGTGGGACTGTGAGACCGCCTAGTATATCGGGCTCCTCCCGGAGGGGTGTTTTAGGAATTTGCATGTTGAGCTCGTATGCATGAACGACATTGTCAGCCGCTTCAACGGCACGTCTCGCACTATCTTGAACCATTTCAATCCCCTCCTTAAGAGATTGAAAAACCCCGCCTGATTTGACGGGAGTTTTACTCTCCATCGCCTCGCGCACTGTAGCGTGCATAACGTCAAGCATGCCCACCACACCCTGCATCGGGGTCCTCAGCTCGTGAGACAAGCTGCGGGCGTATGGTTTGAGGGGGTGCGAGTTGAAATCAGTGGCCTGATGGAAAGCGGCAGTCTGGGGGTTGTGGAAATCGGAGGTATTTGTCGTCGGGGAATCTAACATTTCATCTAGAATTTGTTCCCCCGGGTCTAGTCGTTGTACAATCAGGTCTTCAAGCGAGTGGAGGATCATCTCCAGGAAGGACCAGGACAGGTTTCTATGCCGAAGACCTTCTTTAGACCACATCAACCCGAGGTGCGCCAGGCACTTTCCGGCCGAAAAGAGGGGGATCGCCAAATAGCCATCGGCGGCGAACGGCAAATTATCATCGCCGAACGACACAAGTGAGCTGAGATTCTCGGTGATCAAACAAGGCCGTTCGTGGTCCATATGCAGTAAGGGGTTCCCGCCTGCGAAATACCTGTTTCGCTGCAAACCAACAGTCTGGTAACCATCATTGTAGTAGAAAGCTGCACCAAAAAGGGACGGGCGCCGCCCGCCTAGTTCTAGCATGGGCTCATTCCCGTGTACTCTCCGGGCAACAAACCCATACTGGGCTTTAGTCATAGATGTCATGTCCTCCATGAGCCGTTTCCAGAACAGCTCGGTATCGGATACCCGCAAACCCTGTTTGAGTGTGACCAAATGTTCAATGGCAGTAGTCTGGGCCCCATCATTCCATGTTCCCAAGTCTCGTTGCACATCTCCGTCGTCATGAACGGCGTTTAGTCCGTCACCGGTAATGCACTCGGACTTGCAGGATGGGAACGGCATGGTGGGACAAGGTTGGACAGCATGAGAGACATCTGGCTCGGGCGTGTCGGGCATAGTCCATGTGGCAAGTGAACGTAAGGTCGATTCGAGGATTCGGTTTTCGGGCTCTCGTGTAGGTTGTTTATCTGGGGGCAACGACCATAACATTCAATTGTACAAATAATAGGTACGGTGGATGGATCGAGACGACTTCGACGTACATCCACCAGAATATGAAATATTGGAGAGAGAAGGCCCAGAAGGAGGGGAGAGGGGATTTTCCGTTAGTTCGATGGGGGCCGGGCGGTCTAGACACACGACCTGAAACAGGAGTTATTAAGAGCTCATAGATTCTGATGTAGAGCTAATAATATTTCTAAAAGAGTTTGAAGTTCCTCTAGAACTTGTATTTCCCTTTGACGAACGTTCTTCTCTTTGTGTGTTATGTTTTTTTCTCGAATCCTGCGGAGGTGCACGGAGGTTGGCGATGCAGGATCAGCGGGATCTAGACCAAAATGAGGGCCATCAGGTACCTGGTACCTGGTACCTGCTGTACCGTGGTGTTATCTATGGAGATATCAGGTACTCGGTACTTCTGGGATCATTTATAGAACAGATCTACTTTTATTTATATTGCATGTTATACGTTGTAAGCACTCTCTATGCCTCCTTTTTTTGTTCTTTTCAAGGATCTCAACGGATTTCCGAATGATTAGTATCATTCTATATACACATAGTCAAGGTGACTTCTTTGGTCCATCTAGACCCAGAATGAGGTATAGCGAATTCAGCAAGCACTTCTAATTCCCCAATATCTCAAGCAAAGCGACGCAATTATAATTTGACGAATATTTTTTTATTTTATTTTTTTTTTTTTCAGAACCTCATGAGCATTAACAGTACGTGTTATCTCAACTTGACACTGGTTTTGGTCAACCTCATTCCAGTTGGTCTTCATATCGAGCTTGCAGGTATGACATTTTCGGAGTTGGCCATTCTGCGAACGACGTTCTAGGAATTCTGGAAGCATACATTTATGGGGACAACTAAAGAAACGCTCAATATTTGGCCAAAAACGGTTTGTTTCCTTCTTGTAAAGGATTTCCCATTGGCTTCGGACTCGCAAATATGTCTGCTCATCTTGTGAAATGTAGATCTTCTGGTTAGCAACCACTTCGGGTTGAAGAGTGATTGAACAATGGTGCCATTCAAGCCATTTATGTTGATATCTTTCCAGCATTCGCGCCATTTCTCTAATATTCAATGGACTGCAGGGACAGATGTTCACAAATACAGGGTACTTGCATCTGCGGTTTATCTCAGTGCTATATTCCCTCTCAGAGGATTCAAACTCATTGTCCAGGTGCAACTTGATGCACGAGGAACAGTAGAGTCTTCTAGTTCCCTGAAACCAACAAAGAAGTTGACGGCGTAGATGTGGTTCCCAATAGGATGTTTCAGTTGGAAGCCCGTATGGAAGCCAACCGCAGCCGAACGTATATCTGGGGAAGGCCAATTCATCGGCCAGAACATGTCGATAGCATATGTACAAAGATGTACAGCTGAAGGCAAGGTAAATTTGAGACTTTATATGGAGCAGTTGAACTATCTGATCCACTAGTTCTAGAGACAGGTCCGATATAGATGTCTTTGGGTACTCTATTTTGGAGGAAGGTTCGCCATAGTATTCTTTGGGCATTGTGTTTCTGAAGGTAGTCCGGTATAGAAGTCTTGAGGTGCTCTATTTCTATAACTCTAAGGACTAGAGGTTGTTTCTCGTTGAATCATCGCCGATTCCT